AGGGAATGTGTTGCCTAAGTCTTATAGTGAAACCAAGAAAATCATTAGAAGTTTAGGCTTAAGTTATGAGAAAATACATGCTTGCCCTAATGATTGCATGTTGTTTTGGAAAGATAAAGCTAATGATGATTTCTGTTCTGAGTGTGGTGCTTCGAGGTGGATTGTTAACACAAATATTGAAGAAGATCCCATAGATTGCACAATGAAAAAGAAAAAACCAAAAGCTGCTAAGATCTTGCGATGGTTCCCTTTAATCCCAAGATTACAGCGGCTATACATGTCTTCAAAAACTGATTCTCTTATGAGATGGCATGATGAAGAAGGGACTAAGGATGGACTTATTCTCCATCCTGCAGATAGTCTAGCTTGGAAACATTTTGATGAAAAATATCCAGACTTTGCTGTTGATTCTCGAAATCTGAGATTGGGTCTGGCTTCTGATGGATTTAATCCATTCAAGTCAATGAATGTCACATAAAGCACCTAGCCTGTTATACTAATTCCATACAACCTGCCTCCTTGGTTATGTATGAAGCAACCTAATTTGATACTGTCACTGTTGATTCCTGGTCCAAAAAGTCTTGGAAACAAAATTGATATCTACATGCAGCCACTCATTGAAGAGTTACAACAACTATGGGATGCTGGGATTGAAACTTTTGATGCTTCTAAAGGGGAGAGATTCCAGTTGAGAGCTGCATTATTGTGGACCATCAATGACTCTCCAACTCGAGCAATGCTGTTCGGGTGGAGTACTAGGGGGGAAAAGGCTTGTCCATGCTGTGGTTATGACACAGAATCTATGTGGTTATATCATGACACAGAATCTATGTGGTTATATCACAATAGGAAATATTGTTATATGGGCCATCGGAGATGGTTAGATCGAAGGCACGGTTATCGACATGATAAAAAAACTTTTGATGGAAATAAGGAGCTTCGAATGCCACCTGGTCGAATATCCGGATCAGAAATTTTGAGTCATGCAGATGATGTGAATATAATGGAAGGGGAGTCAAGTCAGCCTTTGAAAAAGATTAGTATTTTCTTCACTCTTCCTTATTGGCAGCACAATCTACTTCCTCACAATATTGATATGATGCACACTGAGAAAAATGTTTTCGATAACACTTATGGAACAATAACTGACCAAGATGGAAAAACAAAAGACAATTACAAAGCACGTTGTGACCTCCAGGATATGGGGTTGAGGGCTGATCTACATCCAAAACCAAGATCAAGCAATAACTCTAAGTTGCTGCCCAAAGCTTGTTATCAAATGATTGCAAAGGAGAAGGATGCATTTTTTAAGGTCTCAAAGGACATTAAATTGCCAGATGAATACTCATGTAATATCTCTTGTTGTGTTCAAGTTAAACAACGGAAGATAATAGGACTTAAAAGTTATGATTGCCGTATTCTTATGGAAGAACTTTTACCAGTGGCAATTCGAGGATCTTTGCCGAAAAGAGTTGCTTCAATTATTATTGAGTTGTGTCACCTTTTCAAATGCTTGTGTACAAAGGTTCTCAAAAAATCTGATGTTGATGAGTTAAAGTCTCAATCTGCAATAATTTTGTGTGAAATGGAAAAGATCTTCCCACCTTCATTCTTTACTGTGATGGTGCATCTTATCATGCATTTGGCAGAAGAGGTAAAGCTTGGTGGGCCAGTTGCTTATAGGTGGATGTGCCCCATTGAACGGTTAGTTTAATTTTTAATATTTTTTATTTTTGTGATAATTTATTCATTAATTTGTAACAAATCTAAAAAATGTTGACTAATTTATGATTTTCTTAATTGTTTCTAGGTTTCTCCTTACACTTAAGAATTATGTTTCTAATAAAGCTCATCCAGAGGGATCAATTGCAGAAGCTTATTTGTCAAATGAGTGTTTAACATTCTGCTCAAGATATTTGGAAGGGGTTGAGACAAGATTTAATAGACCTTTACGTAATGATGATGAAGATGATAGGGAGCATTCTAATGAGGTAGAAGAAAACCTAATAACTCCCTTAGGTCGACCATTGGGAAGGGCACAAATACCCATGGCTGTTAATCTAAAGAAACGAAAGAGGGTGCGAAGGATAAAGCTTGATTCTCAGTCCTTGGTTCAAGCCCATTGATACATTCTTTTTAATACTCATGAAGTCACTCCCTTCATAGAGTAAGTAGGATAAATACATCTTTTTTTTTTTTCACTTTTATATGACTAACCTACCTATTTAATGTTTTTAGGCAACACAAGGATTTTTTAAAGAAACAACATCGCTCACCTCGCCTATCACAATTTGAGATTGAAAGGTGTCATTCCTTGACATTTCATGAATGGTTTCATGATCGGGTAAGTTTAAAAGATAGAAACTAAATGGCATATGATTTTTTGGCTTCACAAACTAATGTGTTAAATTAATATTTGTGTTAATAGGTTACAAGAATGGAACAACAAGGTTATGTTTTTTCTGAAAAAGTTAAGTGGCTTTCAAAAGGACCAAGTGATGTTGCTTTGACGTATTCTGGATATTTGGTAAATGGATTAAGATTCCATACCAAAACTCATGAGAAGAACTTGAAAACACAAAACAGTGGGGTGGCAGTTATATCAAACACCAAAAGTTATTCTAGTAGAAAGGATAATCAACCAGTGGAAGGAGAGATAAATTTCTATGGTGTTTTGCAGCAAATTATTAAATTGAACTATTCTGTCTTCTATAAAGTTGTGCTTTTTAAGTGTGATTGGGCGGACACCCAAAGAGGATGCAAGAAAGATGAATTTGGTTTTACGTTGGTGAATTTCAATCGTTTATCTCACACTGGTAATAATCCTAGTGATGACCCCTACATATTTGCCTCTCAAGCTAGTAAAGTGTTTTACATTGAGGATGCAAGAGAAAAAGATTGGCAAGTAGTCAAGCATGTAAAGGTTAGAGGTGCTTTTGATTTGGGAGAAGTGATACCTATTAGAGAAGATGAAGTTGGTGGAACAGACATGGCATCCACTTGGGTTAGGAGAGATACCGAGGAAGAGGGGATTATTGTGACATCAGATATGGAAGTTCAAAAATATGATGATGAAGAAATTGATGATTAAATTTGAGTTTGTAGTACAAAGTGTAGTTACTAGTTTCTCTAATTTTAGGCTTAAGTTATTATTTTATGTAATGTATGACCATAATTTGAAATATAATAGTCTAATTTTTATATTTTTATCTTATTAGTATTTATTACTTTTTCAATTGTTTTTCTTGGTTGAATGATTGTTATAGATGTATTTATGTAATTCTTCTAAGTTCATAAACTTGGCTTGCTTTTTCAGTATATATTTTGACATTAAAATATAAATTCTCATTATTATCAGCTTTATTTTTTTCCTTTCAGGATGCCAAA